ATCCCCCAGGAAAGCTCTGAGTTCCCAGAAGCGTAAACATTATTAATATTGTTATGTTTGAGCAAATACACAACTCTAACGGTCATACATCTCCAATGCTTTAGCCTGAAGTCTCTCTTAAACACGACACCTGGCAGATTATTGACTTAAAAAAGTTTTAAAAAATCTTAATCTTAAAAGTTATTTTTTTAAAACGCACAAAATTTCTATTTGTATATGAAATATTATTTTCCAAAACACGTTTTACTCTAAAACTGAGAGAAAATAAAAGCTAATAAATCTAAAAAAAAAATTGTGTTCCAAATTTGATATCTCAAAAAATGAGTTTTCAGTGAGAGTGTGTTCCAGTACCGAACGTGTGAGTGTGTGTGTGTGTGTGTTCACACAGCAAGTGCCAAAACCTTTACCAAATTTCGTACCAATCCGATGAAGTGAAAAATTATTTAAAATAATAATAATAATCTTCCCCCCGTGTTTCGTCACACCGCCCAGCAGAGGGGTAAACTAACTTCTGTTTTTCTTTGTGTGAGGAACAGTTTAATAATCTAGGACTTTTCCCCACTATTCTCTATTCTCCGCTGTTTGATGGAATGTAAAGATGTTAAGACATCGATGACAATAAAGAAGCTTCACTTTTCAGAAGCTCAGAAATGTTGATCTTTAATAACGTGTTCGTTTATTCACAAACTTCATTCACTATATAATTAGAAAGAACATTCGCCAGTTGCTGTGAACTGAATCTTTACATGTTTTACCAGACAGATTATTATAATTATTAATAATGACAGATTATTATAATTCGTTAAACCTTTAGATCTCATTTGTTGGTTCAAAAAACGAACATTCAATGAACAAACTATTATAAAATGGTCATGTTACTTCACAGTGCAGAAACTAATGTTGACAGATACAACTTTAATGTATAATTCCACATGCGATTAATTTACCAGAATATAAAGTGATGTTAGTCAATATGTTAATATCGTGTCTTCAGAACTAGCAGCTGTAATCTTCACAATTATAATAAGACTTAGATATACTTTAACTGACTTCAGAACGTTATGACGAGTATTATTATTATTATTATTATTATGAGTAGCCTATAGGTATAACTTTAACACTAGTTTGAGCAACTGGTCACTGATGATGTAACGTTAGTTAGACAGAATTGTATTTGTTTTCATGAAACCGCTCCACATTACAATAATAACACAATATAGACAATTATAATAATGCTCATTACCTTCCTCTGCTGTGATGAGTCCAGTCAACACGAACCAGAACCAGGAGAGAGAACCGATCCAGAAAACATGATCCATCTCAAACTCCAGTCAGCTCATTAGACTCAATCATAAATCTCTTCAGTTTATCGAATATGACCAACACTTCAGCTAACGTTAACGTTAAATATAAATATTTCTTTAAAAGTTATGCAGCTCATGAAAAACTTTCGGCAATAAACTTATCCAGAACTAATCTCTGTCCACTTCAGAGTTGGGATATATTAGGCACATATTAGGATAAAACGTCATCGGTATCTTAAACCCAAACGGGATCAGATCCAGATCAGAAATTGAGATTCTGCTCAAATCGGCTGAAACACAATCCTGCGATATGCGCGTCCGTGTGAGTGCGCGTCCACTATCCTGCCATGGAAAAACTCTAATCCCAGCAGTGCGTCCGTTTAAAGTCGTTTATAATCCACTCCTCGCTGCGTTTGAACCGAAAAGTCCCATCGACATCAACAATTAAAGAACTATTCCACGAAACTCGGAGTTTCGGCCGACGCGAACTTTCTCTCAGGACTGAACGCGAGGCGCGCGAACCCGAGCCTGGACTGCAGCAAGCCCCGCCCACCGCAGGGCAGGACCGGCGCTCATTGGTCCATCGGCCAGTCTGTCCAGACGAAACATGAGCGCGCTTTTATGTGGATTGGCAATAATATCTGGCCAGTATTTTATTTTATTAAACTGATCTCATCACATTTTTGTTCGTATAGATGAAGGCTCAAACCGGCTTAAGTTTTAATAAATAAATAAACGTAATAATAGCAAAATTGTCATAGGAATTAAATTTAATCCTGAATTTATTGTTGTATACGTTTTTCCCTTTATTTATTATTTTATTTATTTATTTTAAAATGAATTTATGTCCCCTTTAACGTGTATTTATTTATTTATCTTTTCATTTCTTTATTCATTCATTTTGCGGGTTCCGGCCACATACGTCTGAAACTGATGAATGACATAAAATTCGAAATTATTACATGAAATTGAAATAATTAGTTAAAAATACGCAATTTACTGTGTATATTTCTTACTCACTGTCATAATGTCGACTTTTATGACATAAACTAGACTTGTTATGTCATAATTTCGACTTTTATGTTATAATTACGTCTTTCATATCATATTTTGATATTGATTTACAAAATCCTTTTTCGTGTGGCGTATATGGGCCTCCATATGAAAGGTTATAAGGTTGTTTGACTATAAAGAGTCTCTGTGTTTATGACTGTGTTTCTCACGCTGTGATCGGGGTGTGAATCTCCTCACGCGCTCCCGCGAGCTTTTACACCCTCCGCGCGCTATTGTTCACGCGCGTTAAAGCTCCATTAGCTCGCGCTCTCAGGTGAGATGAGAGACAGTAGCGGAGCTGACGGTAACACGAGAACCACACACACACACACACACACACACACACACACACACACACACACACACACACACACACACACACAGAAACTCATCAAAGAGAGAGAGAGGGAGAGACACAGACAGAGAGAGAGAGAGAGAGAGAGAGAGAGAGAGAGAGAGAGAGAGAGAGAGAGAGAGAGAGAGAGAGAGAGAGAGAGAGAGAGTCGCTGTGTGTAAAGTGAGTTTCACTAGTGTGTAATGTTGTATTGTGTGAAGTGTTACTGCAGTCACTCCCTGTTTCACACACACACAGTAGCCTATGAGTCTCTCTCTCTCTGTGTGTGTGTGTGTGTGTGTGTGTATGACTTGATTTGACCATCAGAGATTGTGTTACTGTGAGCTCTCAGCTGATCTCAGATCAGACACATGAACACAGACACGTTTAAAAGTGCAACAATTAATTGTGATTCATTATTAAAATTATTTTAACCTTATGGACAGCCTGAATGTCACATGTTCTCTTTTATATGTGTGACGAAACAATCTAACCTGGATGTGTGTGATCTGCTGTCCACACACTGCTGATGATGATGATGAGGATAACAAAGAGGATGATGATGACGATGATGATGGTGATGATGGTGATGATGATGATGAGGTACTTATTGTTAATGATATGATTTCAGATTATAATCTAGATGTGCTGTGTTTGACAGAAACCTGGCTAAAACCAAACGATTACATTAATTTAAATGAGTCAACCCCACAAGACTACTGTTATAAACATGAACCTCATCTGAAAGGCAAAGGGGGAGGTGTTGCTGTAATTTATAACAATATCTTCAGTAATACTCAGAAATCTAGTTTCAAATAGGCTATAATTATTTTGAAGTGTTGGTGCTTAATGTAACAATATATAGTGTAAATGAGGAATCCCGTCTGAGATTTGTGCTGGCTACTGTATACCGGCCACCAGGGCACCAGACAGACTTTATCAAAGAATCTGCTGACTTTCTATCAGATTTAGTATTGGCTGCAGATAAAGTACTAATTGTTGGTGATTTTAATATACATGTAGATAATGAAAAAGATGCATTGGGATTGGCATTTAAAGACATTCTTAACTCAATTGGAGTTAGACAACACGTGTCAGGATCCACTCATTGTCATAATCATACTCTAGATCTAATATTATCACATGGAATAGATGTTGATGCTGTTGAAATTCTGCAGCAGAGCGATGACATCTCAGATCATTATCTAGTCTCGTGTAAATTACATTTAGCCAAGGCTGCAAAGCCGACTCCGTGTTATAAACATGTTAGACCTATCACTTCTGCCACTAAAGATTGCTTTATCAATAATCTTCCTAATCAGTTTCATCATCTCAGCATCCCGGATAGCTTAGAAGAACTCGATATTGCAACAGAAACTTTTAACTCTCTCTTTTCCAGCACTTTAGACACAGTTGCTCCGTTGCGCTTAAAGAAGATTAAAGAAAATAGTCCAATGCCGTGGTACAGCGAGCACACACACACACACACACACACACACACACACACACACACACACACACACGGGCCCTTAAGAGAACAGCCTTCTGGAGCGCAACTGGAAGAAACTTAACTAGAGGTATTTCGCATTTCATGGAAGGAGAGCTCGATTGCTTACAGAGAGGCTTTAAAAGCTGCTAGATCTGCTTATTTTTCATCCCTATTAGAAGAAAATAAATATAATCCTAGGTATTTATTTGAAACAGTTGCTAAACTAAAGTTTCCAAGCAGCACAGCAGTGATGACTTTATGAACTTCTTTACTTATAAGATTAATAATATCAGGGAGAAACTGATAACTATGCAACCGTCCACTACAGTATCGCATCAGGGAGTGCATTAGTCTCCCTGAGGAAAAATTTGATTCATTTGTTGCCATAGGAGAGGACGTATTTTCTAAACTCGTTAAATCATCTAAATCGACAACATGTATGTTAGACCCTATACCGACTAAGCTACTGAAAGAGATGTTTCCAGAGGTCATAGATCCTCTTAATATCATTAATATCATTAATTCGTCTTTGTTATTAGGATACGTACCAAAAACTTTTAAGCTGGCTATGATTAAACCGCTTATTAAAAAACCACAACTTGATCCTACAGAATTAGTCAATTACAGGCCGATCTCGAATCTGCCTTTTCTGTCAAAGATACTGGAAAAAGGCAGTATCCTCACAACTGTGTTCCTTTCTAGAAAGAAATGATATCTGAGAGGATTTCCAGTCCGGATTTAGACCGTACCATAGCACTGAGACCGCTCTCATCAGAGTCACACATGATCTGCTCTTATCATCCGATCGTGGTTGTATCTCTCAAGTCATCTTCATTTATATAGCGCCTTTTAACAATGGAGATTGTTTCAAAGCAGCTTTACAGAGATAAACATACAATTTACGGTAACAGAGATTGTTTTGGCTTTATAGCGATTTTTGAATAATGTTATTTCCAGCTAAAGTTGGTTTTGATTGATTCACTTCCAGCAAAATTATCATTTGTTATTACATTAGGGGCCACTAAGACGACGGCGTTCTCTCTAAACAGACTTTAAACGCGAACCTGTGACCTGATGGCGTTCACATGCGCATTAAACATTGATTCTATAGTTATATTCGTTTGAATATGTGTGCGCAGGTTTGTAATTTCCCTACCAACCATGCCTAAACAAACTACTTGTCTTGCCTATAAATTTGATACAGAATTTTATTTTATCACTTCGGGGTACGCGAGCCGGAATTCACAGCGCTTTATCTGTAGAGTGGGAAAGGGATCCTCCATAGGGAGAGGATAGTGGATACTTCAGCACTGCATTGTCATCGGGTCTAGGCGAATCTCCTTCGTCAGATCTGGACACGGCCTGGATCCGGCAGGCTGTGGGAAAACCTCGGGATAAACAAAGACACTAAAGTTAGCGTAGATGCCATTCTTCTTATGATGTAACGAGTACATCAGGATTTAAGGGAAGTGTTCCCAGTTCCGGCTGACCTAATCTATGCAGCCTAACATTGAATTTATAGAAGTCTATAATGTATTATGTGTATGCTAGGTCAAAGAGATGTGTTTTTAGTCTAGCTTCTCTATTAGTGTTACTCGATCTTAGTGCTGCATTTGACACAATTGACCACAACATTCTTTAAATAGACTCAAAAATTATGTTGGCATTAGTGGAATTGCTTTAGCATGGATTAAATCATACTTAACTGACCGTTATCAGTTTGTAGCAGTAAATGAAGAGATGTCTTATCGATCACAAGTTCAGTATGGCGTACCACAAGGCTCAGTACTAGGACCGCTGCTGTTCACTCTGTACATGCCCCCCCCCCCACACATACACACACATACACACACACACACACACACACACACTCACTCACACACACTCTGAACATGCTACACACACACACACACACACAAACACACACACACACACACTGTACATGCTACACACAGACACACACTGTACATGCTACACACACACACACTCTGTACATGCAACACACACACACACACACACACACTCTGTACATGCTACCATTAGGAGATATCATTAGGAAGCATGGCATTAGTTTTCACTGTTATGCTGATGATACTCAGCTCTATATTTCTTCACGCCCCGACGAAACTTACCAATTCACTAAATTAACGGAATGCATAGCCGATATAAAAAACTGGATGACTAGTAATTTCCTACTACTAAATTCTGAAAAAAAACAGAGATTCTAATTACTGGACAAAAAACGTCCTCACGGAATAACCTAGAAATACTGTCTAACACTTGATGGCTCTGTCAAGTCTTCGTCGTCGGTTAGGAACCTGGGTGTGTGTGTGTGTGTGTGTGTGTGCTCTTTGATAGCAATCTTTCATTTGAAAGTCACGTGTCTAGTATCTGTAAAACTGCATTTTTCCATCTTAAAAACAAATCTAAATTACGCCATATGCTCTCACTGACAAATGCAGAACAATTAGTTCATGCGTTCATGAGCTCAAGGCTAGATTACTGTAATGCTCTACTGGGTGGTTGCCCTGCACGCTTAATAAACAAACTCCAGCTGGTCCAAAACGCAGCCGCTCGAGTTCTTACCAGAACCAGGAAATATGACCATATTAGCCCGGTTCTGTCAACACTGCATTGGCTCCCTATTAAACATCGTATACATTTTTAAATATTGCTGATTACTTACAAAGCACTAAATGGTTTAGCTCCTAGTACTTGAGCGAGCTCTTAACGCATTATAGTCCTTCACGTCTATTGCGATCTCAAAACTCCGGCCAGTTGATAATACCTAGAATATCTAAATCGACTGCTGGCGGGAGATCCTTTTCCTATTTAGCACCAAAACTCTGGAACAGTCTTCCCACCATTGTCCGGGAAGCAGACACACTCTGTCAGTTCAAAGCTAAACTAAAAACACATCTCTTTGACCTGGCATACACATAACACACTATTCATTCCTATTATTCAAATCAGTTAAATGATTATTAGGCTGCATAGATCAGGTCAGCCGGAACCGGGAACACTTCCTATAACACCTGATGTACTCGCTACATCCTAAGAAGAATGGCATCTACGCTAATGTTAGTCTTTCCATTTATTCCGAGGTTAACTGTAGTCAGCCGGATCCGGGCCGTATCCAGATCAGCCGGTGGACCTGTGCCTGGACACGTCCACAACGCATCCCTGCAGTGCCAGCCTCATCAGCGCTGTGAAGGCTCATGGACACCTCAACAAACTCGTCTCCATCCCGGCGTGACTCCGACCTCCAACCAGATGAACTGGATAATATTCTGATCCAATCTGACCTCTGACCTGTAATG